GACTCCTGGTGGTCATGAATGTGGACTCCTGATTAAATCATCTTTTGGCGAGTCATGTGCTCACCGAAAGGTGGGGAGTTTGAATCCACCCCCAAGCACCTAGCAAGAAAGAGTTTATTGTTGATTTCTGAAAGATCAGTCATTGAAATCCATGGAGTGTGTTTCTACTGGGACAGATGAAGAGAGGCCAGTTCTTGGAAATGGTCATCATGCTTGGAAAGGTGGGAAGTCAAGAGTGGAGAGGAAGACCCCCAGAGAGATGGATGGTCACAGAGGCTGCACTAATGCGTCCACGCACAGGGCTGGGCGTGCAGGTTGTGAGCATGGTGAGGGTGAGGGAGGCTGTTGGTCTGCTGCACACGGGGCCACTGGGTTGGAGTGGACTTGCAAGCATGTAACACTCGCCATTAATTGGAATCAAGTCAATAGCAACCAGTTAAAGGTAGGACGCGTGGTCTCTGCAGAGGGTACAAGTGATAAACAGACTGAAATTGGGGCACCCTGGTGGACATGACATAGGAGCAGGAAGGAAGAAAATGGGGCAGGCAGGAGCAGATGGGAGCAGAATCTCAAAACCTTATTAGACTTTGAGGGTGGGGCTGGGGTGGGGCCAGCTTGCAGGAAGACCATTGTAAGGGTGTGTTCAGGAGCAGCAGTGAGGGACCCCCCATGGGATTCATACCTCTCATGAATGAGCCCTGACTTTGAAACAAGGAGTGTAGATGCAGGTATTACCTTAGCACTCAGCCTGGGGTGGGTCCCTGCTGCCTCGACCTTCAGGGGTGACGTCACATCTCCAGCAGTGGCCTGCACCTGTGGGACAAGAGATGTGATGGGGGAACAGAGGTTAAACCAGAAAGTTACTGTTAGGAGGGAGAAGTAGTAGACAATGAGGTGGAGAGATGATGGGGGTCAAAGTCAGAAAGATATGATAGGAGCCAAAATCAGAAGGATGTTTGATAGAGAGACCAGAATAAAATCCAAAGGAGACTTGCTGAGAGGCCTGGGACAAAATCAGACAGACGTGTGTTTAGGGAAGCTGAACGAAAATCAGGTCTTAGTGGGGGCTGGGAACAAAACAGATGGCAAAGAGTGAAAGGTCATTTATAGTCACGCCAACACAGAAAAAGCTACACACCTGTCCCAGGTGAATAGCCATCCTACGCACCTGTCCCAGGTGAGACGCTCAACCTACACACCTGTCCCAGGTGAGACATCATCCTACACACCTGTCCCAGGTGAGACACCAACCTACACACCTGTCCCAGATGAGACACCATCCTACACACCTGTCCCAGGTGAGACGCCCAACCTACACACCTGTCCCAGGTGAGACATCATCTTACACACCTGTCCCAGGTGAGACACCAACCTACACACCTGTCCCAGCTTAGACACCATCCTATACACATGTCCCAGGTGAGCCACTCATCCTACACACCTGTCCCAGGTCAGACACCAACCTACACACCTGTCCCAGGTGAGACACCAACCTACACACCTGTCCCAGAAGAGACACCATCCTACACACCTGTCCCAGGTAAGGCGCCCATCCTACACACCTGTCCCAGAAGAGACACCATCCTATACACATGTCCCAGGTGAGCCATCCATCCTACACACCTGTCCCAGGTAAGGCGCCCACCCTACACACCCAGATGCCTTACTTGGGGAGTATGTGCTATGCACTTTGTGCTGGTGGGCTGGGGGATGAGCTGGTTGTTGCTAAATTTTTCCTGTGACGTGGTGACAGAAAACCTCCTTTCCCTCAGCCTGGAAAGGCTGTCTCTCCTGCGGCTGAAGTGAAGCTGGGCGTCCTGGCCCCCAAACAGTGCCCCCTGCGCTTGTGCATTTCTTCTCATGCAACAAACTGAGGGATTCGGGCTTGACAAAGCTGGACATCTCTGGCTGAGCGCTCGGCAGCATCTCCAGGAAGAAGGCCAGACTGCATCCACTCCTGCAGCTTCTCTTATCCTGATGTGCTCCTCCAGGTCAGCAGCAGGCCAAGAAAACCGGTCAGGACCAGTGCTGGCACTGGGGAGAAAGTGAGTCTCCAGAGGGGAGCTGGATGTGCTGGGTGGGTGAGTGAGTGTGTGTGTGTGTGTGTGTGTGTGTGTGTATGCTTGTGCATGTATACTGAAGTCAGACTGACCAACAACCACAAGCACTAAGATGGCCTGACTCACTATCAGCTACAGCTGGGACCGTCGGTCCATCCTGAGGCAAATCGCTCATCCAGGACTGGGCTGGGCTGCCCGGCAGGGTCTCCAGGATTGTGACCTTTACCAGAGCTGACCGCCATGTCCTTTCACGCAGAGAATCTCACCGGTGGATCTGCACCGACAAGCTTCCAGTGAGCAGCTTAACCACGGCCACCAGGACTACTGTCACTGTTCCAAAGCCATAAATGTTGACGAGAGTCTTGGTCCCTGGGATAGAGATAGGCAGTCACCTGTGAAAGGCCACTGGAGGCTCGGCAGCGAGCTGGTCCTGACTTGAAGGCACTGAGATGGGAGTTCATAGTGTTAACAGGACAGTCCCCCTTTGTCGTGAAGGACAGTTAACTTCATCTCACGAACTTGGGGCCTGTTATCAAGAGGTTCGCCGGCAAGGTCTTTGCGCTTGGTCAGCAGCAATGAGGAAGACCTTCAGTGAGACGGAGTGACACTGTGGCAGCCAGTGGGAGGATGGCAAAGGAAAGGGCAGTATTCTGTCGCATGTGATGTCACCCTGAGGCAGAGCAGAGTCGGGGTCCCCTAACAACAGCAACGTCCACTTCAGCTGGAATATCTATCTTCCTTCAAACATCCCACTTGATCCAAGACATCTCTTCTCTCCAGGAAAACATCCCAGGTGGGGATCCAAGACCCCAGTGAGGCAGGCAGCCTGGATCCTCGTGTGTGAACGATGCGGGTCTTCCTAGCATGCCTGTGTTTTCAGGCTCTACCGTGCCCACCCACCTTCTTAGTGAAGACAAGTGAGTTCATGGGCTTCTGTCTCAGTGTCCCAGCCCCAGGCTGGGCATCAACAAGGAAGACTGGGAGAGGGTTCAGAAACAGTGAATTTGAAGTCCAATTGCTTTGTATCAGCTGAATGTTGAGTGCTTTCATAGGCATCAAATTCTTTAGCCTACAACCAATGAGAGTGAAAGATCATCATTGGTCAATGGCTTCTGTAGCAGCTGAAGACTGAGGGTCCCGAGAGGTATCAAAATCTTTGGCTCACTAACAATCAGTGAGATTGCATTTAAGATGCCCATTTCACAGAGTAAGTGCAGTAAGTCTTGGTGCTCCTCCCACCATGTGGGGGTTTGAAGCCACCAGCCACTCCAGAGAGAACAGGAGATGTAGCCTTCCCAATATGTACAGCGTGGAAACCCTGCCGACAGTTCTATAAGCTAGGGCCTCTAGGAACTGGAATGAGCCCTACGGTAATAAGTTTGGGTTTGGGTTTGGATGAGTTCACAGACAAGGGAGGGAGGAGAAACGGCATCAGCTCTAAGCTAAGGAGATACAAAGACCGACTTGGAAGCCAGGGCTCATCCCTGCCAGACCTCCATCAACCTCTAGTTAGGGGAAGGGGGGGAGCAAGCCTGTATTCCTCAGCCTGTGGGTAACCTGTGTTTCTCTATGCAGAGGAATCCTTCATCTCAATGCCTCTGACACCGACCTGGGTACATCTGTGGGGGGCTCTGGACACCGTGGGGCATTAAGCAGCATCCCCAGTGCTCCCCACCCCCTCCCCAAGAAGAAAATGGAAAATATGTCCAAACACTGCCATCTGTTCCCTGGGGATTAGGGGAGTGGGACTGCTGAACTGAGGATGTTTGGTCTTAAACAATAAATCAATATTAAATTGATTTTATTTACATGAAGTAATTGGATCATTTCTACAGGATTATCTCTGCCTATTTGCTCCACAAATATAAGTAAAGAACTAGAGAGGCCACAGTTAGTGAAAAGGTGGGTGTGATATACAGCATTATCATGAAGCCCCGAGGGTTATAACCGACCTGGGTTGGAAGGGTTTTACTCTCTTCATTATACGTCATCAGGGTCTGGACACCATCTTCATATGGGATGGAACAGTGGTTCTTCTTGGGTTCAAGTGCAGAGTAGCATCGCAGCAGGGAAAGCAGGGCAGCTGTGGCAAGAAAAGAGAGGGAACCCCCCACCCCAACGTCTCTTCCTCCAGGCAATGGGCCTCGTCATGGACCCATTCTAAAGCTGGACTGGACAAGCTCATGCGTGCCAGGTGATGGCCCTGAAGGAGCAGGGTGAGTCTGAAGGAGCCCCGGTGTCCCCGCTGCCTCACGTGCATTTGAAAGCTGCACGATGAATAAAGAACACAGGGACGTGCGGCTGCATTTCACCGTGAGTGACGGACGGTGACTGTGACAGAAGGAACATGTCTCTCTTGGAAAAAGAACAGCCAGATGCTCCTCAGAGACAAGAATGGTGAGACTTTGTCTCCCCTCGCTTTGCACATGTGGTCAGAAAGGTCCAGTCCCTGGAGGACATCATTCATTACAGAGGGTCACTGAAGGAGGGTTACTGAGGAACGTCAGTTTGAGGACTCATGTGTGTCTGATCCAGGGGTCTTTCCGATTACTAGCTATGCGTATGAGACCTGGACAATGAATAAGGATGATAGAAGAAGAACTGATGCCTTTGAGCTGTGGTGTTGGAGAAGAGCACCGAACATCCCATGGACAGTCAACAAAACTGATAGATACGTCTTAGAGAGGGTGCAGCCAGAGTGCTCTTTGGAGGCAAGAATGATGAGGCTTTGCCTCACATACTTCGGACGTGTTCTGAGGATGTGCTATTCCTTGGAGAGGGACATGATGTTGGAAGAGTGGAGGGTTGGCAAAGGAGAGGAAGACCTTCAACTAGGTGGATTGACAAGATGATTGTTTCAATGGTCTGTTGTGTGTCAGGAAGTGTGAGGACGGCACAGGACAGGAGTAGGTTCGATTTTTTGTTCATAGGGTCTCTGGAGGGCCACCCTTCTATGGCGCTGTCTGCACTCCTGTCGCTGCAAACTACTGCTTGTTCAAAAATAACCAAACCAAATGCCACGCAATCCTGTGCCACTCGTGGTGACCTCAGATGAAGAAGTGCTGTGGGCAGCGGCCAGTCATTCTGATCAGGTGTCAAGCTCTGACCTGAATGCAGGCCTTCGTCCAGCCATCCCCCTTCCTCCCCGCAGCAGGTCCTATGTCCCCCCCCCCCCACCTGTCCACACTCGGGGAGATCACTTGTCTTCTCAGCAAAGCCCCTGTTGACCACTGACCTGCCAAGACTAGGATGGCCACACAGCCTGGGGCCAGCACCCCCACAGGAAGCACCGCCTGGGCCCCGACAGCTGTGAACTGGGCACAGATGCGGCCACCGCCAGGGCAGGAGCACACCTGGACGTGGACAGTCTGGTTCCGGGCAAGGCCCTGCTGATCTGCAATGTGCAGACACACCAGGTAATTCCCAGGCTGGAGACGACGCTGCATCAGCAGTTCCACCGTGTGGCCTGTAAGGACGGGAACACCTGTTATCACTCACCCCTGTAGTTTCAGCCACAAGCAGGACTTGGCACTGGCCACAGTCTGGTTGGCCTGGAGGCTGTGCGTGGACACGTGGCCCTCCACTACAATCTTTCCACTACAGCCTCTGACTATTCACCTGGCCCTGCTGACGCAAGCTGGAAATGGGGGAGAGGTTGGCTGCGAAAACAGAGAGCCACTGCTCACTCTCTGGGCTCAGGATCCTAGAGACATCGAAGATGCCCCTCAGGTCCTATGGAGGTCCAGATGTGAGCTCAGAACCAGCCAATCAGCATGCTCACCACCCCCCAAACTCCACCTGCCACAACCAGGGAACAGGAGCCCCAGTGCCTCAAGTAAAGGCAGTCAGGACTTTCTAGGTGCTTCTGTTATAGAGGTGGAGGACCCAGGAGCCCTCCCCTCTCTAGAAGGCCCCTGGCCGCTCTAAGAGGCGCACCTGAAACTAGAAGGCACAGCCTGAGGGTGGGGAGGTGGCACTCACAAGGCCGCCTGGGTACTTAGACCCAGCAGCTCTACCCATCATATGTTTACTAGAGGTTGTTTTCAGGTACTTGAGCCAAAATTGAGGAGACTGAGTGGCCCAGTGGTCAGGTGGGTCAGCGACGAGCCTAAGTCAGCAGTGTGAATGCCAAGCCACTCTGCGTTGGAAGGATGAAGCACTTGCTTCCACAGAGATTGCGATCCTGGAAATGCTTCAAGGCGTGTCTCCTCTGTCCTGCAGGGTCTCTGAGCCACAACTGACTCTGACTGTAGTGGGTTCTTGGGGAGATGTTTGGAGGAGGCCTGATGCCGTGATTAGCACTCGGCTCCTAATTAGCACTCGGCTCCTAATTAAACTGTGGTGGGTTCAAATCCACCAGCCATCTGTGGAAGAAAGGCGTGGCAGTGCATCTGTGGTGAGATTTCTGCCCTGGAAGGGTGCCGGAGACCGTGTGCCGTCGTCAGTGGTGAGCCTGGCCTTGCTGGGCGTTCTGTGTGCGCCTTATCGTGCTGGTGAGGCTGACCTTCACGGTCCCCACAAACACTCACCCCAGTTCTTGCCCAGGGTCCACATGTCGCCTACAAGTCCACAAGCACCATCCAACTCAAAAGTGAAGGGGCCAGCGTAGGGCTCCAGGTCGGGGTCCTCCGCCTCGATGAGGAGGGGCTCCCCCACCGCTGACTCACAGACCTCCAGGTGGGGGTGCCGGAGCATCGGGGCATTGTCGTTGACATCAGACAGGAACAGCATCAAGGTCCCTGTCCCCGTCTGCGGTGGGGAGCCTGGCGAGAGAGTCAACACACTTAGCCGAGGTGGGCACCCCAGGGCATCTCAGACCCCAGCTAAATCCCTCAGAAAAAGACCCGCCCCGCTGAGATACTGGAGCCATAGCCTCATCACAGAAGCCCTGGGGGCTTAGTGTGCTGCTAACGAAAAGACTGGAAGTTCGAATTCACCAGTCAGATGGAGAGCAATGGCCTCCAGTCGCGTCTGCACAAATGTGTAGCCCTTGACAGCGCGGGATGGCTTCATTCCATGTTTGGTCCCTATCACAAGAGTCTCGGTGGTGTGGGGAAATGAGTATTGGGCTGCTGAGCAAAAGGGCAGTGGTTCAAGTCCACCAGCCCCTCTACAGTCTGCTTCCATAAAGAGTCACAGCCTTGGAATGTCCAGGAGGCAGCCCTGCTCCCGCTTCAGGGTCCGTATGAGTTCACAGTGTGTTTAGTAGATTTTCACCTTCTTTTAAATCAGTCATTAGCAGTGAGCCCTGATCATGCAGTAGTTAATTGCTTAGCTGCAAACTGAAAGGTCAGGGCGCAGCCCCACCCCGGAGCTCTGTCCACAAGGACCAAGACCTGGGAGCCGCCCTGGGCCCTGGGCCATGACAGCCCAGCAGACCCCCAGGGCAAGTCCACACTGTCAGAACAGTCTCCCCAGCACTCGCCACCACCACCCTTCTCAAAGTCACCTTCATCTGATCTGCTTTTTTTAAAAAAATTTTTTACTCTTTCACTTAGGACATTTGGATAGAATACTTGAACAGGACACTTGCCACTCCATCTCCTTTGTAAAAGGAGGTAGAATATAGAATCACTAAAGAATTGGAAATGTCCACAGTGACAGGGCTGAAGGAGGCACAGCACGGACAGGAGGTGGTGTGGCTGTGGGGCGGAGTGACGCTGTCTCGGTCTGTCCCTTGACTGCATTAATGTGTGTTTGTGACATTGTAGCAGAGTTTCATAAGATGTTAGCACCGAAAGAAGCTAAACAGCTGACCCGCTAACCAACCCTCCAGTCAACACTGACTCCTGGGCACTCCTATGTGCCAAGCTGGCCCTGTGCTCCCCAGGGTTTTCAACGGCTGCGTTTGTAGAAATAGATTGCCAGGCCTTTCTTCCTAGGCGCTTCTGTGTAGACTCAAACCTTCGGGTTAGCAGCCACGTCCACCCTCTACTCCGCCCTCACTATTCCCTACAACGTCATGCACTTCTACAGTCATCTCAAAACTAACCGTTTCATTACTAATGGTACCCATCATGAACGGTCCACAGGGGCCCTGGAACACTCGCCCTCCCCTTGAATGTTACTGCCGCCTCCTCACCGAGCCACACCCACCAAGCACATTCAAGGAGGACAAACACCTCGACCTGACCTCACACTAGGACCCTGGGTTTGAGTTCATGGGTTTTGTAAACAAAACAACAGCTATTTGAAAATGTGCATTCAACTAACTTCCTGTCCTGGCAGGTTGAACATTCAGCCCTGGGGAGCAGAGAGCACAGTTCATTAACCCACCTCACTCCCCACCCCCGACCCCCCACCCCCACTTGGGCCAGCTGTGTCCTGCCCAGCCACACGCTTCTGAGCTTCTCCACCATTGCAAGCACAGAGACGCTGTGATAAATATTTCTTCTGCCTCATTGGCTTTGACAAAGAGCTAATGCGTTGTCTAAGGAACAGATTTTTTAAAATGTTGGCTTTGATTGCACTTTTCTCCTGGGTTTAATCCTCTCTTCCCAATTTAAAAACCTCTCTCGCTATGACATTAGTCCCTAGATGGACATTTCAGGGACGACCATCAAAAGACATCACTGGTCCGGATGGGAAGTGACTGGAAAAGAAAGGTGTGTTTGATGTTTTCTTCAGTCGTTCTAAAAGACTGTTATTCATGAAGTGATCCCTCCAGAACCAAGAACGCTCACTCTGCCCCATTTGGAGGAAGCACTCACCATCGTCAATGGCATGGACGACAATAGGGTAAAAACTGTCCTTGACGTGCGGCGACTCTCGATCTATCTGGTCCCTGGTGGTCACCACTCCAGAGTCTTCATCAACTGTGACCCAATTTGCTGGATCATGAACCAGTTTATAGCTTGTGTAGAAAACAGTGTTTAAAATCAAACAGTTACATCAAAGACCAATTAAAATTTATCACAGCAAACACGGCTCCTATCACAATTGATCTGGGAAATTCCAAGAACAATTAAGTACCAGTGATGTCTGTGAATTTAATGAAAGACCCAGGAAAGACAATTAGAATCCAGTATTAGCTGCCAAATTGGCATCCCATGAAATAGCTCAGTGTCTCCTCCCTGTTGGTCCAAACACGACTGCACCAACTATGAGGCCACAGCATGGCCTGGGAAGGTCCTTTACATGCTGGCTGTCCTGGTGTCCTACCCTGTCAGCCCACAACCCCAAGAAAAATGGTGGAGAAAGACCTTTGTGATTTAAGGTGTGTCTCAGTTCTCTAGTGCTGCTGTAACAGAAGTAGCACAAGAGGATGCGTTTAACAAACAGGAAGATATTTTCTCAAGGTTTATTCAGGATGCTGGCTTTAGGAGTAAAATGTCTCTCATTCTTTCAGTCTCTGTTCTGGAAGAAAGCCCTTGTTTCTTGCAGCACCTGGATATCCAGTGTCCCCTGCAGATCTTCACGTGTCCTAGCAATGTGTCCCCAAGGTCAAGGGGCTCATTAGTGCAGGAGTCCAGTTCCACAAGCATGCACTCCACTCCCAGAAATTCCTCCTCAGTGTTGGTGCTGCTCAACTTCCTCCCTTTTTTTACCTCTAACGAGAATAAAGATGTTACAGGCCACACCCCTCCCCTTCCATTGGGTCAGGGCTGTGCCGGATTCCACCCGTGGTCCTCTGACAACCACATAGTCTATTAGATCATGGGGAATAATTTCTCAGCCTTTTCATTACATCATTATATATGTGTATTTTGAAGGGACACTTTTCAATCACGACAGAGTTTATAAGGGCTAATCTCCAGGCTTTTCTTCCTAGTCCTTCTTAGACTGGAATCTCTACTGAAATCTATCCAACAATCTACAACATGCAACCGTCCATTTGCAGATAGGTGGTGGCTGTGCATGAGATACACTGGTCAGGAACAGAACCTGACCTCCTGTGTGGACGACAAGGATTCTATCACTGAGTCATCACTTAATGTGACTATCAGCCTCATCACTATATCAGCCTGACGGGGTAGCAGTAACGTTAGGTTATTCCTGGTGCGAGCAGAAGTTTCAGCCTTGAATATCTAATTTCGTCACAGTGGCCTTCTCATCCCTTCACATCTGTGTCCAGGTGGTTCCATCATAGCAAGTAAGCCTGTCAGGCCTTCCAGACTCCCTGAGAGCCACTGATCAGCAGATGGCCCCAGAGGGACCATGCCAGGCTACCAACCACAGTTTGGGCACCTAAGACCCCACCCCTGGGCCCTTTCCCAGAAGCAAACAATGCAGAAAGAAATGCAGAATGGAATGGAGACATTTCTGCTTTTACTTTCTCTTCCATGTCTTGGCAAAAATTGGGTCAGCAACTCCCCTTTCTGACAAGCAGGACTTTGAACTGATTCTTCCTGGTTCAACTATGGCTGTCAACATGGAACCCAAACAGATTCAAGTTTGTAAAATGTGAATAAACTGGAATGATGATCTGCTAAGAACTTAGCTTTCCTCTTTGTAAACAATGGTACGATGTACAGTGCATAGCAACCAAATCCCTTGGTCAACAGAGTCAGACAAGACCATGCCCGGCTCAAAGGTGGCAGCCACTGCACTGCTTTGGGTGTGTGCTGATCTCCGCAGTCTTCAAGGTAACTCAGGCTCCTAAATCAGCCTCCCAGCAAGGCTCCCGAGGCCTCTGTGTAAGTTCCCATTCCAGGGCTTCCACCCATCATTTCTTCCATTTCCATTATTGTTCTGCTTCACTGAAACTTTAAACGTTCAGGCGTGTTCCAGTTTCACTGTTTCAGCCATGGCTGAAATGGCTTCAATTGCCTCAAAGCTCTGCTAGGAGGTGCTGAGTCTGGTTTCTAAAGAGCTGGTATTAGAAGCCTTAGTTGCCTCACCTCTCAGAAAAGTCCAAGTGTTTCTCTGGGAGCTTGTGGTTTGGCAATGTTTACAGACCAAGAGTTTATAAACTCAGAAGTTCACCTGCTGGTCACCTGGGAGGGAAGACAGCTGTTCTCAGCAGATCTGATATGAAAGCAGATGCCAACAAATGCAGATGAACAGGACAAGACCTGTCCCCCAGGTCACGTCTGGACCTGCCACGAAATACCTTCCACCTGCTCCACGGAAAAAACCATCTGCGGCTAATGTGATCAGAGCGTTCTGCTCTTGCCTTTGCAACCCAGACGCTGAGGATCCGCCAAGGACCCCACTGGTGGGAGTGGGTGAGTGAGTGGCTACAAACCAAAGGTCTGCAGGTTCCAGTGTAACCAGAGGGCCTTTGTATTAAAGAGCTGCTGGTCGCCTGAGAACTCAGACACTGAAGGCCCAGGAGCACACTTCTCACAAGTCAGAACCACCCCAGGGGCAATGGCTTTGTCACCTGCCAAGGACGTGTGACCGGAAGCCCATTGTGAAGCAGACTCTGACCAACAGTGCCCAGAAGGGTTCCCAAGGCTGTAAGCTTTAGGAAAGAGCCCTGCTGGTCCAATGATTGAGCATTAAGCTGCTAACCAAAAGATTGGTGGTTCGAACCCACAGCCTGCTTCTGTAGTGATGCAGACGCGGAAACCCTGCGGGCCGGTTCCGCTCTGTGCGAGGGCCGCTCTCAGGTGGGATTGACTCGGTGACCATGAGCTGGGTTTAACTCTACTGACTTAAAGGTCGTTGGTTCAAACTCACCGCTCCCTAAGTGGGAGAAAGCGGCTGCTTTTGTGGTTACGACCTTGAAAATGCCAAGGGGCAGCTGTCCTCGTCCTGCAGGGTCATTACCAGAACTGACGCAATGCTAAGCAATTTTATTTATTTAAATTTATTTAATTGAAATTTTAAACCGGTGTGATAACTTCTCAATGCTTCAGAAGCTGCAGGCAGCAAACCAATGAATGAAGGTTTGTGGTGAAGCGTTTAAGTGAGCAGCAGTTGGTTCTATCATTTCAAACTGAGGGCAAATTTACACTTTAAAGGGCTGGTAGGAGTGGCCTCTAGGTCAGAGAGCACTGACATCCCTGCCCATGGAATGACCATGACCTCCCAGCTCATAACCCATTTTATCACTGTTCGCATAACCCAGAGTCCACCTCACCACACCCGTGTCAGAGAGCTTTCCTCTCAGAGCTTTGCCAGTAGGAGCCCGTGGTGGGTGGGTCAACTCCCTGAAACACTTTCTTTTCCTTCTCCTCCTCCTCGCCTTGTTTTCTTGCTAGGGGGCCTCGAGTTCACTAAGGGGGCCTGTGTTACAGACAGAACAGCTCTGTAACTGCTTTCGTCCAGCCTAGTGGGAAGAAGTGGCAAATGAATCCCAAAGGCATAAGGTCCGAATAGTTACAACTCTACAACATACAGCAACAACAATCTTAAATGTTCTTAAAAGGGGAGTCCTGGTGGCCTATAATAAGGAGTTGCGCTGCAAACCCAAAGACACGTGGTTCAAATCCACCAGCCACTCCACAGGAGAAAGGTGGGCAGTCTCCTCCTGTGTAATCTACAGCCTCTGAAAACCCACTGGAGGGTCAGCTGTGTGTCAGTCCCAGCTCGACAGTGCACAGGAGCCACAAGAACCAGCGTAAATAAAGCAGACCATCCGACCTTCCCCCTGAGGTGCTGCGGATGAGTCTGAACCACCAACCTTTAGGTCAGTGGTCACGGGGAACCTTTTGCACCACCTAATGCCCTGCTCTTTCTCACCTTATGTGGCTTGCAATTCCATCTGGATCTGTTGCATTAAAGGCTCCCAGCAGAAGCCCTGGGTGGGCACCGTCCTCTCCAGTCACAATGAAGGCACTGGGATGAAAGGCCGGTGGGTCATTGGTGTTGGTCACCTCCACGCTCACAGTGGCGCTGGCCCCAGGCTGCAGTGGCCGCCCCAGCTGGCCCCCCTCACAGGAGAAGAGCGGGTCCTCATTTTGTACGGAAATGACAAGCTTTCTCCAGGGGAGCGTCTCGTAATCTAAAGGCTGCGAAGCCCAGGGGAAGGATGTCATTAGCACCTGCTGCTGCTGAGGCCACGGCCCCTCGGCACCAGGAGAACCGTGGTGGCTTTTGCACGTCATTTATTATTTACATGGTCTTTGATAATGATCAAAAGACAATCTTCAGCTCATTTTCAAATCATTTATAGAGTTCTTTTCTCCCCTTCCCTTTCCTGGTTAAAAAGAGCCACCATCCATCAGAGGGTGATGAAAAATGCAACAAAACCCCAGAACCTAATGAAACATTGATGTGAAGACCCGTCACCGAAAATCAGGGAAACTTGGGGAAATATAGACGTGGGTGATCATAATTATCCAGGGTACAAAGAGGTTAGACACTTGAAAAGATGGAATGGGTACAAAGACTTGGAAAAATCCATGCCAAGAGTCCACAGTAACGTCCAGAGAGCTTGGCCATCACGCCACAGTCCCTGTGCCCCCCATCGCCCCTGGGAGCCAGCTAGCTACACTGCAAGTAGACAGCTCATTCCACCCAAACCTGATGACTGGGCATCTCTGAACTTGAGCCATATGACCCCTGAACCCAGAGCTTTGAACCAACTAATTCCTGATTGACCCCCCCCCAAGTGAGGATGTATCTTCCCACCCCAGACAGACTCAATTAGAATCCTCATTGGAAGAGGATTTCCTCTTTAATTCCTTTGTAATCTAAAGTATTTGTTCCAATTTGACCCCGATGAGAATTTGTATTCCCACCAGGGATAGACTGAATCTGAATGTAGGTTGTAACAGCTACATCAAAACAGTATTACCCAGGTGTTTCTTATGCATTCATTCCGGTTCCCAGCCCCTGCTGAGAATCTGCGTTTCCACCTCAGATAGAATCTAAATTTTAACAAGATGTGGACTCAGCCAATGTGAGCTGGAAACACGTCTTTTCAGCAGGAGGTTGAACTGGAACGAATGCAGAGGAATACCTAAAAATCACCCAGTAATCTTGTTACAATGTGGACACTGCGTCAGTACAAAACCAAACTGCCAACCCCACTGCCATTGAATCCGTTCCCACTCGCAGCAACCTGCTGTTGGTTTCCAGGGTTCTAAACTTGCGGGGGGGGGGGGGCACGGCCCATCTTTCTCCCACGGAGTGGCTGGTGGATTTGAACTGTCCTCATGCATTACACAGGAGCTATGCTAAGCACACAGCAGACACTCCTCAGACGGTGGCTGCTATTACCAGCCTCCTGACTCAGTGACCCCACGCACAACATTGGACTAAGAACCTCACAAAAAGTAGACTGGAGCCACTGGAACCCACAGGGTTTTCATTGGCTGGTTTTGCAAGTAGGTTGGCTGGCCTTTCTTCCTACTGCATGTTCGTTTAGAAGCTGTGCTGGCTAAAACCTGTTCAACAGCCTAGCAGCACAGACAGGCAGCAGCTACACGAAATGCGTGAGCCGGGAATGGAGCTTGAGTCTCCTATACAAAACCAGGCATCCGACAGCGAGGGGGCAAGCCTGCCTGGTCACTGATGGTGGTGGTGGCTTTACCTTGATGACACTTAAGATGCCCTCATTAGTTTCAGGGTCCGTCATGATGTCAAAATGCCCCTCCTCGTTGCCATGTGTTATGTTGAATTTTGCTCTCCAGGCGGAGCTGAAGGGAGAGTCCTGGTCTCGGACGCAGAGACGCAGCAGGCCGCGGCTGGCCCGGCCTTCGGGAATCTGCACCTTGTACTGAAAGAAGCAATCACTGAGAGTTAGCGAGGCCCAGAGCGCCGGAGCCCCCAGAAGAGAGAGAGAAGCTGAGGGGCCTCCGCGCAGCAGCCGCATCTTCCTCTGGCCCTGAGCACGTGCCCTGGGGGATTTGAAGCCTTATCTGTTACAGCAGAGCAAGCACCGAGCACAAAGACTTCTCTCTGTGGTTCGACGTCTCCGGCTGAGCAATTCTGAAAGGCTTCTTAAATCCTGTTCAACACACTATTTTTCTTAGCGTTTTATATATAATAATTGGCATTCTAGCTCATGCTAGCTGGAGAACATGCTCCGCTCTTACGACAGGGCACTTGTAGCTGTAGGGACGAAGGATCGTGTGTTCCTAACACACGGTAGAAACAGCTTGTTAATAGCAAACTCTCAAACAGCTTGTTAGTCAATGTTCTCAGTGACAGGAGGGTCTCTAGACAGGCATATCAAAACAACGTGTGCACGCATGCGCACACACAAACACACACGTGTGTGTACACACAAACACACACGCACATGCGCGTGCACACACACGCACAAACACAGAGACACACACGTAGACACACACAAACACACACCCCTGCGTGCGCGCGAGCACACACACACACACACACACACAGATTCTTTTTCTCTGGGTTTGCGTCTGTGAGCACAATTTCTTACTAAGCCGGGGGTGGAGTGCACAACAAGGCTTCGAACCAGTATGGTGTCACCCAGCCCACTGCTCTCGTGAGTCGATTCCCACCCCTGGAGATCCCCCGTAAGATTTCCAAAGCTGTCTGATGGCCCAGTGGTAAGGAGTTGCTCTGCAATCCCCAAGGCACATGGTTCAAATCCACGAGCGGCTCTGAGGGATAATGATGGGCAATCTCCTCTCGCGTGGCTTACAGCCTCTGAAAGCCTGCTGGAGGCTCAGCTACGGGTCAGTTCTGACTCGCTGCTTTACAACAACAATTATGGGAGGAGATTGTCCATCTTCCCCCTTCAGAGCAGCTTGTAAGTCCAAGTTCAGAGCAACTGAGCTTTTAGTTAACAACCCAGCACTCAAAGTGCTGTACCTCGAGCTCCTTACGTGTCTTACGTGATGAGATGTTCTGAGTTCAGGTGAGGTTTAAAAACCCTTTATCGTGTGTTGTGTTATTTTATATATTTAAAACCACTTATTTGTGAAAGAAACCCGTTGAGGATAACCGCTTACATCACTGATTCCACAATAGGGACCATGTGGCAGATTCTGTTAAGTGCTGTGAACGAAAGAGTTTTAAAAAATGATAGACGTGGGGTGGGAAGGAGACTTAGAAAAGAGTTGAAATAAGACGCTACAGAGAAGAAAGGGGCCCTGGTGGTACGGGGATTAGAGTGCTGGAGGGTCTGCTATGAGCTAGTTCTTACCTGACAGCAGTGTGAGAGATGTATTCATTTTCATAATACGAGTAACAAATTGACAATACATCCTGAACGGTTTCTGCTTTTCCTCATGGCAGCCGCACATGCCTTAAGCAGTGCAGACTTTCAGGACTTGCCCTGAAGTTTCAATGTCTTTGTCAGAGACCTTACGTTGAGGCTGTGTGCTGCCTGTAAGACTGACAGCCTCAGAAACCCCCTGGGACAGCTCTGTCCTGCACGATGGGGTCACTGAGTCAGAATGTACTGGACGGCAGTGGTCTAGCCCAGAGGTCACCAATTGCTGGAGGTTCTGTGCCCTGAGGACCATCAGCCACGTCTGCAGACATTTGCCATGTGACAGCTGGGAGGCCGCTGGCCCCTGAGTGGAGGCCCAGGACACTACTTGAGGTCCTGCAACCCCAAGGAAGCATCCAGGCCCCAGAGCCAGCCATGCCTCGGGAGGGCAACCCTGACTGAGGCCTCAGCTTCCTCATTGAAAGAGGGACACCCTGTCCTTGTTTCAAGAAGTGGGTGGCATAGTGCACCTCAACATCCCAGGACGGTTCCTGGACCCAAGTGCACGTGACTCTGCCAGATGCCCTTTCTAGGGGCATCACTGGATTCTTGGCTTCAGAGGATGTTATGATGGAGTGTAAACACCCTCCGCAGGTGATGAGGGAGCCCTGTATAAACCAGGCCAGAACCCGGGGGCCGTGAGGCCTGGCCAGGCACAGGGCACCTTACACTGTCCTGGGTGAAGGTAGGCCTGTGGTTGTTGCCCTCTTGCACGTGGACGTGGACGGTGGCTGTGGACGACAGTGGTGGGTCCCCAGAGTCTCTGGCTCTGATCAGTAGCGTGAACAGAGGCGCCGTCTACACAGATGAAGAAGAGGAAACTCAGTCATTTACATGAGACAGGGAGACGTGGGCAAACACAAGTCCCACTCGGCCTGTGGCTGGGCCCTCCCTGCATGCGGAGACCCCACATCTGGGCCAAGTGAGCAAGGATCATGGTCAAGTTTCTAATAACCCCAAACTCCATGTCACCTCGTAATCCAGGCATCCTGAGAGCAGGATGTCCCCACTCAGCCTGTCCACCCGGAAACCGCTCCCTCTGGGCGACGGCATCTGAGAGACCAGGGAGTAAAGGACCTGAGCATTGGGCGTGTTCTCTTCATCCAGGTCAACTGCGGACATCTGAGCTAGAGGCAGATCTGGAAAGAATAGGTAAGACCATCACTGCTGGTTAACAGAGGAAGAGACTCTTTGCTGAACGGGGCAAGAAACCACCCCCACCACTTTTGAGCCTGTGGTTCCAACACTCAGTGACTTTCAGGATGGAACAGAACTGCCCCTGGGGGTCCTCAAGGCCGCCACCTTCGCAGAAGCAGGCTTCCTCATCTTTCTGCAGTGGAGTGGCTGGGAGCTTCGAACCGACAACCTTCTGGTTAGCAGAAAGCCCACTACTAGCATTAGATCTCAAAGAGTTTGGGGCACAAAGTGACACACCTGCTATACCCGTTTATTGCTGCACTATTATAATAACAAAGAGTTGAAAGCAGCCCAAGTGCCGCTCAGTGGATGGGTGACTAAAGAAACAGTGGCATAGTCACATAATAGAGTATTACACATGACTAAAAATGATTAAGCATTTGTGAAATACTGTGCAACATGGATGAAATTTAGAATACATTATATACCAGGGAGTTCTGGTGGACTAGTGGCAAGAAGCTGCACTACAATCTCAGAGGTGTGCAGTTGGAATCCACCAGATGCTCTGCTAGAGAAGGAGAGGCAATTTCCTCCTGTACCAGTCAGATCTGATTTGATAGTACACACACAGAAAATAATATTTTTTTAAAGTGGAATACATTATACCAAGGGAAGTAAGTCAGTTACAAAAGGACAACCACGGTCTGACACACTAAAATAAAAGGCTGGGAAAGTTCTATCCCCAGACTCAATCCTGGAGGGTTAACAAGGAGGACAAGGGAGGAGTGAGGGGCGAAAACTAAAGTACAAAATAAAAACTATGGAAAGAGATAAAAATGCTGTTAAATATCTAGGTCTCCAGTCATCAAAGAGGAGCAAGGCCTGGGGCTCTCGCGAAGGTCTGTTGTGGACAAATAAAGCAGCACTCTTCAATTATACATGCTGTTCGATCCAGCAAGCCTCCCCTTATGAACGTGTGCTAGATGTGGAATGCTACAGGGGGAGAGCAAAATTAACGCAAATATGTCCCTTGAAGCTTGTTTCTAAAAACTAACAAAAATTGGCAACAAACCTAAATGACCAGCCATAGGAGATTGGCTCCAGACTGTATGACACATGTAATAAAATAAATTCTTAGACAGTAGGATGCGGTCAGAAAATACTGGGAGGTTACAGACAATAGAACTGGGGCTTTTAAAGAGCAAGTTCACGAACACACGTACACGAGAAAGCATCCCCAGGTTTGTATGCTTGTAATGCACACACACACACATGCCGTACTATGCACAGATAAAACTAGAAGCCCTGGTGGCACAGTGGTTAAGGTGTTTGAATATCAAACTAAAGGATAGGTGGTTTGAATCCCCCTAAGGGAGAAAGATGTGGCAGTCTGCTCCACGGAGATTACAGCCTCAGAAACTGTAGAGGGCAGATCTATTGTGTGCCCCCAAACAGCAAAATTATCTGCTTCTGAAGAAGTGCATCCAAGGGGCAGAGAGGCTCAGACCCACGTACTTTGGATGTTACCAGGAGAGACCAGACCTGCTTGGTAAAGCAGAGGGCCAGCAAGCAAGGAAGACCCTCAAATAGATGGACAGAGACACACTGGCTGCACCAGTGGGCTTGAGGCCAGCAGTGACACTGAGGTGGCACAGGACAGGCGGGGTTCATTCTGCTGTCCATGGGGTCACATCCACAAGGTCATGTCCATGGGGTCATGTGAGAGGGGACTGGGCTGATGGAACCTAACAACAACGTGACAGGGTTATGCTCAAGTCTGCGGGTGTGGTTTTCATTTATACTTAAAGAGGAAATACATGTTCACCTCTAAGGGAACACACATGTCTGTAATGATGTATAAAAACCCGTCCCTACATACGCATATTGGTGTATAATATACAACGTGTGCAGACAATGCTAAGAAAACTGGGAGATTGGAACCCAGAACTTCAATAACTTGTGCATCTAAATGATCACATCCTGCTTCAGTTTTTTCATTTCTTGGATGTCTCCAAATTTCCTACACAACCCACAGCAGCTGAGAGAACCGGAGCTGAGATGTGAACTTCTGCAGAGATGTTGAAAAATTCCATGAAAGAAGAAAAGACCCAGCCTCCCCAGTGAGTGCACGCTGAGCCCCGGCCATGGCCCCTGTGCAAGCTGGGATTATACTGCCATCAGCCAGGCTCTGGCCCTTCCGGAGCGGGAGGCTAGTCTGGAGGTCTTAAACTGTTGTTTGAGTGGCATTTACAGATCAAAACAGCAAAGGGGCGAAGGGACCTCAGTGTACTTTGCTGTCATCCTGGGCTGTGACCTTTGAAAATGGAAGCGTGGCATGTCCCTGAGGTCCATGTGGACCAAGTTCCCCATTAATGTACAAGCAGAGTGGTCATCAGAGGACAGGGTGGAGGGCCTGCGGTCTGGCCACTTACCTGCCTCCTGGTCCTCTTTAAGGGTGATGTTAAATTCCTCCTCCAGAAACTGGGGTGCATGGTCGTTGATATCACTGATCCTGATGTTGAAAAACAAAGATCTATCCACAGTTTTCCCTGTTGAGCGATCAGCTACATCAAAACGGACCTGGGACACAGAGAAGTGTGTGAGTGCCAGAAACCACCGGCCTGGTGACAGTGACCGCCCAGCGGTGAGTATGGCTGTGTGTCCCCAGCGGACGGGAAGTTCCACGGGGCCTGGCATCACACCCTAACCCCAGGGCTGAGCACAGTGCTGGCACCACTTGTTGTTGTCACTGTCATGGTTGTGTGTCGTCCAGTCAGCTCCCACACACAGTTGACTCCATGGAACAGCACAGAACTGCCCCGCGGGGTTTCCAGGGCTGTGAGTTTTACAGAAGCAGGCTGATTCCTTCCCTGCCTCTGTAGGTTCAATCTGTCACTTAGGAGTCAAATGCTTACCCACTGTCCCCTAGGGCACCTCGGGCTCAAACGGAACTCCGTATCACTGAGTCAGTTTTGACTCACTGCCTATGAGCCCTCCATGCCTGTAATCTTCCCAGCCTTAGAAGCAAGGATGGCCAGAGCGTGTCTCCAGATACGCTATCAGAGAGACCAGTCCCCGGAGAAAGACATGACACGCGGTAAAGCACGGGGTCAGCACAAGAGGAAGACCCTCGGTGATTGACATGCTGGCCCAGCATTGGACCCGGCCACAGCAGAGATCGTGGGTCTCTTGCAGGAAGCGGAGAGCTGACAGTTTGCCACGTGGCGCCTCCCTGCTCTGTGGGTGATACCGCACCTGCCTTCCTCTCTTATACGACACCAGTCGGACGGATCAGCCCCCACACTTCTCTGGTGTGATCTCATTAAACTCCTTGGTCCTCGAGTCAGTTCTGAGTCCCAGCAATTGCGTTGCGGATCTGAATGGCTCCAGCATTTTCCAGAGCTGTCGTCTTCGCACCAGCAGATTGTTCTGTCCTTCTCCAGTGGAGCAGCTGGTAGATTTGAACCACTGACATTGGGATTAACAGCCTAGCATTTTCACCCACTACACCAAGAGGTGTCTGTTGTTACCTGTTTATTCAAATGCTGCAACCCTCGGAGAAAGATTCCTCTTCTCCAAACAAGGTCTTCCTCGGAAGTAAGAACTTCAACGTGACCTTTAGGGACACGCAACTCAATCCATGGCATAGGTCGCCGGCCCATAGCCGTCAGGTCGGTCCTGACTCCTAGAGGCTCTATGGGAAGAAGCAGACCTGCCCCACTGGATTTTCAAGATGCAAACCTTTAGAAGAAGCTGCTACATCTTTCTCCTGTGGGTTCCACCTGCCAGCTTTAGGTTCGCAGACAAATGTCATAACCACAGTGCCACCAGCGCTCCCATGACACAGGCAGAGCAGCCCAAATCCAAGTCCAGAAAGCATGCGGCATCTCCACACTCCGTCTGTCCTTCACAACATCCCAGCGCCTCATGGGGCGCAAAGCAGGAGCCCCCCACCCCGTGGTCAGAGGACCTAGAAGACTTCAGGTAGTCTCTCATTTCTCACCAGAGTACACATGGCCTTCTCTCCTTTGCTGGACACAGATCTAGAATCTCTGAAATACAACGTTGACTCAATGACACCCACCAGGATGGCCCCATAGGCATTCTAAACGGTAGCTGGGCTCCACCGTGCACCCCACCCAGCCCTCCTTCTCGCCCCCATGTGCTGAAGGACACTGCGGTTCTACCGTTGGTGAAGCAGTCGGCTTCAGGGATCCTGACATACATTTTTAAATTCCTGCGCAAGCAAATTGGCTCCCTCACACGCGCGTTCCCACAGTCCCCTCCATAATTTATGGCCACGCCGGCATCTCTCTGCTCCTTCACCACCCGGACTTCTGGCTCTGAAAACGGCACCAGCTGTAATTCTTCCACCTGAAAATCACTGCCACGTGTCTCCTGTCTGTTTATTCTTTCCTACCCTGTTTATTACCCTAAAAGCTACCCCCGAGACCTTTGGTTCCAGAAGGTGTTTGAGCGGAGGGGATACTGTTTACCCTTTGGCAAGATGTTAAGGTTTCCAGGAGACGGTCGCAGTAGAGAAGGGAAATGTTGTGGATGTTTTCTGTACTTAGAGAGGGTTTGCAGCCTTTGCTTACAGCTTGAAGATTTATATTCTTGGATAAACAAGCCAGCATGCATTCGCGTGATGGGTCAGCATATGGCTTTTTGGGATTGCAGCACAGAATCTGTACCCTCACCACAAACAAACAAACGGCTTGCAGGCATAGATTAGAACGAGGAGAAAGGCCATGTGGTGGTCAGCAAGACAAGTCATGACTCTCAGGATATAAACAGATGGGCTTCTTGGTTGTATTGTCTTGTGCAATTAGAGTAAAAGCAGAGAGACCTCTGGTGGCCTGGAGGGTAATGAGTTGTGCTGTCCAAGGGAAGGTTGTTTGAATCCGTGGGCGAAAGATGTGCAGTCTCCTCCCAAAGCTATTTACAGCCTCTGAAAAGCTGCAGACGGGATGACTATGGTTAATTCCAACTCCACAACAACCTACAATTGAGTGTGCTTTAACTTGGATTGATAGGATTCCTGCTAGAAAATGTGAGACACCCCCCGCCCCCGAAGGTCTTCAGTCTCACAGCCGTTCTCCACTGAAGTTTCAGGCTTTCCAGTAGCTGTTCAGGACAGAGGACACTGTAAAATCAGTACGTATCTGGGCTTACCATGCAGACTGGGCACCCCGTCAGGGACTGTGCACTTGAAAAGAGCCCAGGATTCTGTAGGAAGATGCCAGGCATCTCTAGAAGCAGTCTCCAGTGCAGCGAAATAATAGTCCTTTCTCACTACCAGTGAATAAGAAAGCACCAGTAAGCCTGAGCTTACCTTGCGTACGGGACACTTTGTCTCTGTGAGGGACTGTCATTTTGAGAAGAGGCTTCAATCTCGAGGTATGGTGCTTTGGGCTTAGAAGATGGACAGAGGCCGCCCCTCCTAGAAGTGAATTCCTTGGTGTGGTCACAGTGTGGAATAGTTCACTACAGATGACGGAAGGGCGGGGAAGCCCACGTTCACCTGCCTGGTGGGCAGCCCCAACCTTCAGCACTGAGGTGAGGTCGGAGCTCTGCCCCATCAGCCCCAAACCCAAGGTTTTCAGAGCTAGGACTGTTCTCAGAGGTCCACGCGGGCACTGGTCACAGCCAGTCTCACAGATGGCCAAGGCAACCTTCAACTTCCTTCTACAGGATCAAGAAGCAGGAAAGGGACACTTCACTGAGGTCCCTTTCCATGGTTGGTCACCTCTTATCAAGAACCCTAGTGGTGCACTGGTTAAGTGCTCACAGCCAAACAACAGGCAGTGGAGCCTCCTGACCACTCCACGGAAGAAAGGCCTGGCTGTGCGCTCCACGGAAGAAAGGCGTGGCCGTGCGCTCCACGGGAGAAAGGCCTGGCCGTGCGCTCCACGGAAGAAAGGCCTGGCTGTGCGCTCCACGGGAGAAAGGCCTGGCTGTGCGCTCCACGGGAGAAAGGCCTGGCTGTGCGCTCCACGGGAGAAAGGTGTGGCCGTGCAGTTCCTCTCTGTCCTGCAGGGTCTCTTTGAGGTCAGAGTCCACTCAACAGTAGGTTAATCTTCCCCCAAGCCCAGGTACCACAAAGGGTTAACACACTGGGCTGTAACTGGAGGCTTTGAAAATCTCCAAGGGTCCTGTCCACCCAGAGGCAACTCAGAATAAAAGGCCTTCGACCTACTTCTGAAAAATGAGCTGTGGAGAAGCCTCTGGAATGCGGACCCACCCCACACACCGGAGAGCAATGCTTTGGAATCAATTCAACAGCAACTGGTAATCTTTCATCAGTCCGCTCCATCTCTCCTAGTCAGAGTGTAAAACCCCGGACGTCACAGACTGCATTGCACTGTGTTCCTTCATTCAAGGAGTTCTGGTGGCTCTGTGGTTAAGCATTTCATGGTTAACCAAACAATCAACATTTGGAACCAACCGTTCACTCCATCTGCTTCGGTGGAGACCTGCAAGCTTGGAAAACCCGGGGACAGTTCTGCTCTGTCTTACAGGTTGTGATGAGTAGGAAGCAGCTTCTAGCAGTGGGTGGGCTCACTCACTCAACACAACTGAGGACCCACCAGAAGCATGTTTCTTGACTGGAGAAATGGCAGTGAAGGAGGCAGGTGCTGGCTCTCCCTGCTTGGAATTTACATTCCTCAACAAACAAGCAGAGATCTGTCATTTTGAGGTAGTAGGAAGTATGGAGAAAAAAGTAGACAGAACACAGCCATGTTTGGGCAGAGCACTTGAGGGCATGAGGACACACTTTAGAATGCTTATCCTCTACCTTCTCTGACAACAGCTTATAGTGAAATAACAGAGCCAATGACCAGATAATTAGATCCCAGAACACTTGACTGGGCTTATGCAAAACCTATACTTGAATGAGGAGGCAGTCATCATCAGAACAGAGCAGGGAAACACTGCATGGTTCAAAATGGGGAAAGAAAGAAAGTACACCAGGATTGCATCCTATCTCCATACCTTTCAATCTATATGCAGAACAGATTATCCAGGAGGCTGGGCTCTATGGGGAGGAATGTGGTGGCATCAGGATTGGAGGAAGACTCATCAACAACCTGCATTATGCAGATGACACAACCTTGCTTGCCAAAATTGAGGAGGACTTGAGGCATTTGCAGAAGATCAAAGATTGCAGCCTTCAATATAGATTGAAGCTCAACATCAAGAAGACAAAGTTTCTCACCACTGGGCCAATTTGCAGTATCATGATAAACGGTGAAGAGATTGAGATTGTTGACAGCATCAGTATGCTTGACTCCACAATCAACACTCTTGGTACCAGAAGCCAGGAAATGAAAAGAATTAAATTGAGAAATTCTGCTGTCAGAGTCCTCTCCAGAGTATTGAAGAGCAATAATGTCAGTCTGGAGACTAAGGTGTGTCTGATCCAGGCCATTGTCTCTGTAATTACCTACTTGCTGTGCATCAGAAAGCTGGACAGTGACTAGGGAGGATAGAAGGAGAATTGATGCCTTTGAGCTGTGAGTATTGAATGCACCATACACTGCTAGCAGAACAAACAAATCTGTCCTGGAGAGAGTGAAACCAGGCTGCTTCTTGAAGCAAGGATTCTGAAGCTGTATCTTATGGGAAGCCAAACTTTATACCAAATATTATATGAAAGTCCTTGTTCAGGAATTGAAGGAATTACAGGTATGTAAGTTAGGATTTCTCTTGTGGCAGATCCTAGAAAATGAGCTGTTTGTTCCCTGCAAGACAGGAGACAGCAAGGGGCCCCCCTACAGAGAGAGTGTTACTTCCTGAGCTAGAGTTCACCCTGAGGCATCAAGGTTAATAGTTAAGGGTAAACCAAATTCTTGCATTTGTGAACCGCTCCCTCCTGAGTCAAGCAGAAGGTTTTCAATAGAAAAAGCTTGGCTTCATTTGCATTGAATTCTCTTTGTGATTTACTTCCTGATAATTTTCAATAAAGACACAGAGAAGCTTGGCTTGGGGTCTTCAGTGGAGAACTGCTGGCTCCCTGTTTTATGCTCTCTGCTCTATCACATTCCTGGCTGTTTGTCTCTTTATTAATAATGATAAGATTATTCCATTCTTTGGGACCCTCGGTCTGCAACAGTATCTAACTTGGAGAGGAATATCATACTCGGGAGGGTGGAGGGACAATGCAGGAGAAGAGGACCCTGGATGAGATGGATTGATTCAGTGACTAGGATAATGGGAGTAGGTGTGTCAGAAACAGTAAGGTTGGCTCAGCATAGAGCAGGGTTCAGAGCTGTTGTACACAGGGTTGCAATGAGTCACAAGGGACTTGATGGCACATGAGCCCTTAAAATCTTGACCTAACCAATTGCACGTCTCCAATACTTCCCATTTGCACCACAGATGTTTCGTTCTTTCCTCTGAGGAGCCTTGAGGACCTATGTGAGATGTGCTACACTTATGATCTCCACCTCAAGTCTCAGAATACTCCGAGGGTTGTACGTCCTCATTAACACCTCGCCTCATCAAAGCTCCACGTGAAGTGACAGGGTAAATAATTGTTAACGCTGACCATGTTGCTAAAGCTGTTTAAAAACAACAGTGAAAACTTTCATTTTATCCTTGAAGACCTAGTGGCCCAGTAGGTTACACCTTGGGATCCTACCCGAAAGGTCATCAGTTCAAACCCACCAGCAGCTCTGTGGAGAAAGATGAAACAGTCAGCTCTCATAGTTATCATGGCCTTAGAGACACCAAGGGCAGTGCAGCTCTGTCCTGCGGAGCCTATGAGTCAGAGCTGACCTGACCATGGCGGGTACAGCATGGCTGAGGCCTCTTGTCTGGGTGCCACGAAGTCTGTTCGGTGCCTCAGGCCTCGTGTTCAGCAGAAGGAACCCCACCCAGTCCCATGCCATCTTGAAATCACTGCGCTCTTCGCGCGCCTGCGTCAGTCCTTTTCATGCAGGACCTTCCTCTTTTTGCAGACCCTCTGTTCAGATGATGGTCCACTGCTTTTCCTAAGGTTTTCACTGGCCATCCCTTCACCCTGCCGCCACCCCAGGAGTAGAATACAGTGTCTGTCTTCCTGATGTCTCTTGGTTCGAAAATGCCACGGAAGTCAGTCCGCCATCAGTCACGCTGCTGACTTGATGTGTCAGTGGCAAAGCCTCTAAGATCGCAGCCACGCCCCAGCCACCACGCAGGCCTGGCAGGATTGTGTGTCAGACCACGCCTTTCAGGAAGGCCCACGGCTCACAGCATCGCCGACAAGCTCGCCCAGAATTACCGATTCTCAGGCTGCCCGAATCACCAATTCACACTCTGCATTTTAATAAGATCTATTTGCTAGGTGGTTGATTTGCTTCTGTAAGAGTGAGAAGCACAGACTAGGGGTCCCCCTGATGGCCACTCAATATGCCTTCTTGTATCAGACACCATACATTCTGTGTCAAGAGTTTACATGGACAGATAAGGCCTTGGATGTTATCTTTGAGTCATACATTCGCCAATGTATTAGGTCCTTTCTAATGCTAGGCCATTTTTACCTCTTTACAAATTAGAAATTCATAGATATTCTGTGAGTTAAGGATATTTCCATTACATATAATTATCATTATATAGAATTTTGAGAACCTTATATATGACCAGAGAAAAATATCAGAATTACTTTTTGTGGATGTTAAGCAACATCTTCCTATCCTGAAAAGATACTGTTATTGTCGTTGTGCACTGTCAAGTTGGAAATGACCCACAGCTGACCCTCCAGCAGGAGACTGTCCACCCTTCTCCCACAGAGCAAGCTGGTGGATTCAAACTGTGTGCCTTTGAGATTGCAGCTCAGATTCTTACCACTGGACCACCAGAGTGCCTGGAAGGGTGTTAGTTTAATACACTCTAAGCAGGCCTGAGAGGCAAGTCTCATCCTGACCGTTTCATCTCAGAGGAGTCCCAAAGGAGCGAATCGCGACTTCTTTGCATCCCCTAGAAAGTTAGGTGGGCAACGTGATGCCCTAGCACGCACTTGGCAGCATGGTGCGAGTTGATTTGTGACTCAAAAATCCCTGTCTTCAATTCCTAATCCGCAGTGTCTGCTAGGTGACCTAATTCAGAAATAGCATCTTCTTGCTGTGTACCATCGAGCCAGAAGTGGCCCTTAGCTGACCCTTCAGCAGGTTTTCAGAGACACTAAATCCCACAAAAGGAGAATGACCATTCTTCTCGCACTGAACAACTGGTGGATTTGAACCACATACCTTTGCGCTGAAACACACTTCCTTACCACTAAGCCACGAGAGCTCACTAAAAAGCATCCACACAAATGTGTTAGTTAGCACAAGGCCGTTCAGGTGAACTCTATTTCCAGCACCAATGGTGTGCTGATAAGGAGAGACACAGAGAGACACAGTGAAGGACAGTATGTGTCACGTGATGAAGACAGCAGGGATTTGGTGACGCGTGTACAAGACGAAGAAACACCAAGGATCACTGGCAGCTACCTGAGGCTGCCGGCTGTCATGGGTGACATCCACTGAAGAGTCCGTTAGAAGTGAGGGCACAACCTCACCTCCTATCCATCACACACACTGTTAGGGGGCACCAGTGCTGGGGGGAGGCCAGTGACCCCAGACAGAGCAGTGACTGCGAGGACCCAGACCTGCTGCAGTGACCACAGACCATGAGGACAGAGACCTGATGCAGTGACCTCAGACCATGAGGACAGAGACCTGATGCAGTGACCTCAGACCATGAGGACAGAGACCTGATGCAGTGACCACGGACTGTGAGGACAGAGACGTGCCCCACTGACGTCGGACCACAAGGACCCAGACCTGCCACAGTGACCTCAGACCCTGAACACAGTGCAGGACCTGGCAGCACTTTTTTCTGTTGTACATGAATCCCTGGGAGCTGAACCAACCTTATGGCACCCAGCAACAACAAATCTGTCAAAAATTGTTTAAAACTCTGTTTTACAGGGATATTTAGCTTCTAAATTTAAATCTGACTCTTTTTATTTTCAATGATTTATTCTTTGCAAATACCTTTAAAAAAACCAAAATAAAATTTATATTTTATACTGGTTTACTTACAAAGTTTGTATACATTGCCTTTCACACTGGCTCTTTCTTATTTCCTTTACCCGCCCCTCCCTCTGCCCATCCTCACCGATCTTTATACACGTTTTACTAGTTATCTTTCTATTTCCACAATAATGGAAGGTGATCTTGATGATGTCTTGGAAATATAGCCAGAATGCCCCTTAGAAACGAGGAGGGAAAGACCTCACTCAGCTCATGTTGTTAGGGCCATGTTGTTAGGAGGGAATCATTTCTAAAGAAAATAATGCTTGGGAAAGTGGAGGGCCAACCAGCCCCCAAAAATCAAAACCACAAACAAACAAAAACCAAGAAAAAGATTCTGAACGAGATGGATTGACACAGGTGCTCAGTGGCTGTAGCAACGGGCTCACCTGGTAGCAACCGTGAGGTTGGTGGAGGACTGAGCTTTGCTTCTTTCTATGGTGTAGATGATCGCAATGGGATCGATGCATTGCACCTAATAACTACCGGAAGATAGGAAAGAGGTGTAGAACAGACTCCCCCTCAGAGACCACCAGCAGAAGCTAACCCTGTTGACACCTTGACTTCTGCTTCCTGGCCTCCAGGTTATGAGAGAACTGGATTCTTTTTGTTTTAAGTCACCTGTGAAAGAGTGAATTCCTGTATCTTAAGCCACCTGGAGTGTGGTGTTTGGAAAGGACAATCCTAGGGATTTTCTTTTAACAGAGCATTTCCTGGTTTAGAAGTTGACTTGCAACTTCAAATCCTTTCTTCTCCAGTAGACCATAGTGTGAGGGTGACTCAATGACACACAACACTTGGACTCAACAATAACGAACTATCAACACGTATGCAATGCCTTCTTGGGCAACCAGAGTGGCCTACGGGGCTCGTATCTCACAGATTTCAACTGTGAACTCCTCCAAACTAAACCAGCCCATTTTACAAACATCCTGTAATTGTACCCCGAATGCTTTCAGATCTGATCATGCTGGGACGTTGGTCACTGAACGAAGCTCTGTAGTAGACATAGTACCCCATTTCTAAGTGTGCCCACATCCCACTTTCAGGATTATAGGGTTAAATTCTGTGTTCCTCCCATACCTCTAAAACTTGTCACAATGCATACTAACTCAGTCTCCTGGAACTGGGATAAAGTTAGCTCCAACACTGCTTCACCAGCTACAATAACCCTGTAAGAGTTCGACAGTAAATCAAGCTTAGAGGAGAGCAGATTTTAGTACCAGAAAAGACGGCGTTGTTTCTCGATCCACGGAGCGGTGAACATAGATCTTGCCATTCTCATGATCTTCTATGGAAAACAAGCCCACTTCTGGGTACTCATCCACACCAGGTCCACTGATCAAATACATCAATGACACATTTTCAGACATATTATTGAACAGCTGGAAGGAGAAACAATAAAACAGAAAGAATGAGAATAAACCATTATGTAGACCAAGTATCAAAGTAAAAAATTTTAAAAATATTTTTTAAGGGATGGCCTCTAAAGCCCCCATCTAGAGTCTTATTCTAAAGAAACCAAAAGCTATGCAAAGGTGTAGGGAGATCATGTGACTTACTACTTGGTTTACAGTAGTAAAAAATTGGAAACAACACAACATCCATCAATATGGAAAGGGAGTGTTGACAGTGTGGTGTGTTAGGTGTTGGTAAGTCAGGAGTACAAATGCACCAGCTGCTCCATGGGAGAAAGATGGTCCGTCCCTCCCATTAAGATTGATGGCCTGAGAGCCCAACAGAGGGTCACCACGTGGAGACTCAGTTTGCTGGTCTTGTGTTATGAGAACCTACACCGGTGTGTTATAGGAACCCTCCCAGTTCTGGTGTGTTATGAGAACCCATGCTGGTGTGTCATGGGGTCCCTCCCGGCCCCGGTGTGTCATGGAAACCCTCCCAGCCCACAGTGTCATGGGGACCCTCCCAGCCCTGTGGTGTCATGGGAACCCTCCCAGCCGATGGTGTCATGGGGACCCTCCCAGCCCCAGCGTGTCATGGGAACCCTCCCAGCCCACGGTGTCATGGGGACCCTCCCAGCCCTGGTGTTTCATGGGGACCCTCCCGGCCCCGGTGTAGCCCACATGGAGACACCGTGGAGTAGCTCTGCAGTTAGAGGATGGCTTTTTTGGTGTTTTGGAAAATTTTTTGTAGCTGTTGTTGAGAATATGTGCCAACTCAACAAGCAAAACATAAACCAATTCAATAATTGTACAATTCAGTGACATTGGCCATCCAGCTCATCCTCCTTTTCCAAACCATCTGTCCCTCATTACCTGAACTCACTGCCCCCTAACTTCCTTATCGAACCTTTCAGGCTGCTGCTGTCAATTTGATCCCATGTAGTGTGTGAAAACCGCCACTCATCCATTGGTTCTCCGTGCTGTGGTGGCTCCCGTGTAGCGGTCACGCAGGAAGCATGCTCCTGGGCTCTAACACCAGCAGGGAGCAGTGCTTGAAGAAGGACATTGATGAAATAGAGGGCCATTGAAAGTGAAGAGCCTTAACAGGGTGCGTGGACAAGTGGCTCCAACAGGGAGCTCAAGTGTAGCTACGCATGTGGGGAGCGCAGGTCAGACTGGGCTTCATTCTGGAGGTGGAACTGACCAGGCGACACTTCGTTAAAAAGTACAATATATCGGGGAGCTCTGGTGGCCTAGTGGCAAGGAGCTACAACTACAATCCCAGGGCCGCACAGTTTTAATCCACCAGATGCTCTGCCGGGGAAAGAGAGACAATCTCCTCCTGTACCAGTCAGATCTGATCTGACGGTACACTCACACAAAAATAAAAAATTTACATTAAAAAAATTTTAAAAGTACAATATAGTACAACAAGAAAGGCAAGTTGCCAAACAATGCACACAACAACTCCACTTCTTTAATGCAGGTTTGCATAGTAAATGCTTTGGGATGGCTAGAAGAGTGTGTGCCAATTTTCACTTTTTATTAATCCTTGAGGCTAAGAGGGTAAGAGTCACAGCTGATGTTCAGGACAGGCTTGGTGTTACACTCACTACGTGCTGACTTGTCCTGGCCTCGTACCTCTGTGTAGGTGGCTCCTCTCCTGGCCCCATTGCACAGATGATGGAACAGGTAGGACAAATGCTCTGTGCACGAGAACTTCACCGCATTGACCGTTATTAGTATCACTGACTCCTGAGAACACGCACTTCACCGCTGGGCCTGAAAACTCGTGGTGCTTGTGGCCTGTTTCTGCTTTCTTGTAAGCATGTGCTGGTTTTAGGAACACTTAGAAATATATTTTAAACATTTTTTTCTAAGAATCATAGAAAGTCAGAGCTGTGTGATGATCTGAGTAACTCATTGAAAACTCACAGATGCTCTGGGACCAGGGCGCTAGTGGTGCAGAGAGAGCAGGCGAAGGGCCCGATCCCACCACCTGGACGCCCTCTCTTGTCCTGTTACCTGACACTCAGCACGCCATGGGGAGGCGGTCCAGAATGTGGGGACACATTCTGTGGTAACAGCCACAGGAGAGCGAACCCGTCAAGTGCTGCTGTGTGGAAACACGGGATCCACGTTGCCAGGCCTTCCAATGTGAATTCTCAGAGTATTTTTAAGGTTTCCATATTTTTAAATAAGAACCAAGTTTCTAAGGCTCCACATAAAGTAAATGAACCTTGCTTCCAAAGGAACTAGATGTTGTCTGAGTGCTGCTGCTGTGCTCTGAAAGGGATCACAAGCGGAAGACAGGGTGGGAGGAAGATGTGGAATAAAACTCAAAATCAGAAAAAGACAAAGCTTGCAGGGCTGCTGGAGACGCATGAATCCCCAAGACAATAGCCCTCCAGCACCCGGCAAACCTGGGGCTGAACTCAGCAAAGTGGCTCAGCTTCCAACCAGAAAGTAAACAGTGAAGAATTATAAAGTGGCTGAAACGTCAGCGAGGAAGACACTCCTTACTGAGAAAGATCAACAGGGCAGCATCTGTCCAGGGAGAAAGCTCAGCAGGCAGGCAGGGACAGGTGAGAGGAGAGATGGAAAAAGGAGACATGTGGAGGAAGTTGGAAGAGTGCTGCTACATTGTTGGGAATTGGAATCCGTGTCACAAAATGACAAATGTGTACAGTTGTTGAACGAAAAACAGATTCTCTCTAACCTTCACCCAGATTATAATAAAAAAGAAACCAACAGCAAAGAAAAGCCTTGTGTATGGACAGAATCAACCTGCCTGTGACCACATGGGATTCTGATTCTCTCAATTTACAAAGAGAAGGGAGGTGCCCAAGTGCCTCCACTCACTCCAGGTGGAGTGAGCCCTGGAACCCTGGTCTGCAGAACTCTGGAGCATCTTCCTACCCTGTCCACTACCCGGCCGCACCAGTCCATGCCCTTCCTAATCAGAACCCTCTGCTAACGAGACATGACTCCCGAGGGGACAGGGGACCCTTCTGAAGACGAAGTGCTTTACCTCACCCACGAGTTTCGGGAAGGGGCCTGAATCTTCCTCCTCAAGCTCCAAGGTGGTGACAGTCCATCTCCTCTTGTATCGACGCACAGGCCAGTGACTCTCTCCCTGGAAGGAACAGGGACAGTGGTGAGAAGATGAAGGGATGATGCCAGCAGCTCCTGCCTGTCGTGTGTTCACTTTACACACAGTGCCTGTGCTAACACTTGACGTGCTGATGCTCTGATCCCTGCGACAGCCACCACAACTCGGAAATGACAAGTCTCTGTTCCCCTAAGAACTGTGAACTCGTTCCTAAGCCGGGAGACAGGATTTTACATGGTTCCTGGGCGCCCTGAAGGCACAGTGGTCAAGCCTCAGCTGATTACCGAAAGGACTGTAGTCAGACCGAAGTGATTTTGAAGTGAAGGCTGTGGCCGTTTTTGTCCATAAAGGATTCTCATTGCTGTCGAGTTAGAACTGACTCAAAACCGATCCTGCGGTGGGTTCCCAGGCTGTTTACTGAACGGGAGGAGATTGCCCATCTTGCTCGTTTAGGGCTGGTGGTGAATTTGAGCTGTCCTAGAATCATAGCCTTTGGATCAACAGCAAAACTCCATCCAGTTACATCCCGGCCTTAGAAGTCCTGACCATCTCACTCTGCCCTCCAGGGTCACCAAACGTCAGAATCAGTGAGATGAGCGATTCTGACGGCACAGGAAGAGCATTAAACGTGTGTCAGATGCCTGCAGAACAACGGACATACAACAGCCATTAAAAGAACGAGACATTATTCCCATTCCTTCGTCTCCCAGTCTTTCTGAAATCATTGCTGAGAAAGCCTCAGTTCAGTTCTTACGGGCCTTTAGCGCCTCCTCATTTACTGAGCTTATTTACCGAGACAAACACACTTACACTCAGATCTTCAGTTCAGACGCTTGTCAGGCAGGAGATTTCACAGCATGGTTCTGTTTGAGAGGGATAGATAGACAGACAGATGGGTGGATAGAGATAGTGTGTGTGTGTGTGTGTGTGTGTGTGTGTGTGTGTGTGTGTGCGTGTGTGCGTGCGCGCGCGCGCGCACGCGTATGTATTTCACAGCTGACATCTGCTTATCACATGGAAACAATCTTCTAGCCTGTTGATTTGTATCCACAAAGTAGAAACACAGTGAAATATGAGGCCACTGCAATCCAGTGTTGTTGATTGCCTTCAAGTCGAGCATGACTCATAGTGACCCTATGGGGAAAAAAAGGCCTGAAGCCCTCATTTATCAAAGTTCACAGAGTTTGCAGAGGTATGTTATTTAGGAAGTGGATGCCACTCCTGCTTCCGACTGTAATCCAATAGCACTACCTCCTTTCCCGAGTCTCACAAGTTGTCCTTCTTAGGCCAAGTACGATCTTGCTCCTTTTCTATCATGATTGAATAAGGTGCAGCTGTAGTGTGGGAAGGCCGAGTCTGACTTGCACTAACTCCACAGAACAGAGCTGTCCCCATCAATAACATCCACAGTACCAGAAGGACAGCCACAAGGTCAAATCTACTTCTACTAATCACTGCGCTGGAAAGTCATTGCCACCTACAGATTTGAACTTATTCTCACTTGTGGGGTTTCTTAAGGAACTGGGTTGGGAGGCAGAGGACATCACACAGTGAAATTCCAGGTTTAGTCCTATAGTTCCAAGTCAGAGTAACAGCAAGACACAATTCCTCAACTAGTTCAGGCAGCTTCTCAGTCAACAAGTCAAAGTCCAAGTTCAGGCCGGCAGCACGAACACAAGAAGCCTCTGGTTTCCTCAGTCACCCAGAAGGCTTTGCCCCACAGCAGTCACAAGCCAGCTCTTCCTTCAATCATCTGACAAGCTCTGTCTCCAGGGTTCCATCAGGCCACACCTCGTCCTGATGAGAGTCAGGTTAGCTCCCTCCTTTAAGTGGTCCCACAGCTGTTGATGATGTTGAAGATGCTTCTCAGCAGGTGAACCTTGTGTCTGCAGGTGAGGCAGCCGGCGACCACGCCTCCGGACAGGAGCCAAGTCAATGGATGTAAAAGACAGGAGTCCTAACACCACACTCATCTTAGTGGGAAATGTTCCCATTTTCCTTCTCTGATGGGTTTCAATATTACACAAGTCCTGGCCGTCACAGGTTTTGCCGTCCTTTTAAAATGACTTCATTAGGAAGTGAACTGATCGGGAGAACAACCGTGCATAAGTAACAGTGAGGCGGCTGTGGTTGTTGGTTGCCATGGTGTCGGTTCTGGCTCTGGGTGGGCTCCTGTGCAGAGGAGGGCCACTCCACGAGGGTTTTCAAGGCTGAGGCCTTTCAGAAGCAGATCACCTGACCTGTCTTCTGAGACACCCCTGCGTGGATTCTAACTGTCAACCTTTGGGCTGGTCGTTGAGTACAGCTTGCACCACCCAGGGACTGTTGACAGTCAGGTAGAGTGACAACAGGGCAGGTGCTCACAACACTGCTGCTGGTGCCATTTCCTTGTCTCAGGCCTCGCTCACAGCTGAGAACCGTGAAGCTGTTAACATCCGTAAAGACAGAGACAGTGAGACTGAGCCTTAGAGGGAAAGAAACCCCGTCTCACAGACTTTGGCCATGTTATCAGGAAGGACCAGTCCTTGGGGAAAGATGTTGGGGGGTCAGAGGAACACCCTCTACAAGGTGGATTGACACAGTGACTGTAACAACGGGTTTGAGTGTATCAGACATTGTGAGGCTGACACAGGGTAGGGCAAGATTCAGATCCGTTGTTCACAGGGTCAGAATGAGTTATAGTCAACTTGCTGGCTCTTAACAACACCAGGAGGCCTCAGGGCTCGCACCATCTGGTTGATTTCTGATGAGAGATTTCTCACATTCTGCTTTGATAACAAGCCAGACATACCTTAACTCCTCTCCTGCAATCCCTGGAGAGCCGATACCCACGTCTATTAACTACTTCATTCCCTACCAGCTCCAAACAGACCACAAAGAACCTAAACCTACATCCAGTCTCTTCATGAAGTGCCCTCTCATTGATTTATTAAGAAATCGAATTCCAAGCCCCACCTTTATTTGACTAGTAAGATTGTCTCTGTCTTGTTGGAAGCTGCTGACAATATCAACCTTAAAAACAAAAATGACATTAATTTGTAGGGAAAAGACTTAGCAGAATCAGAGGAAAACTGCCTGAAGTCATACAAACCTTCCACAATTAAAAAGAAAAAGGAAAACCCTGCTTGTAAGTAAACCCCAATATAAACCGTGGAAAAAATACAAAATTGAAAACGTTTCGTTTGGATGAGTATAAGATCTCTTGTCCTTAGCATCTTGAATACGGCTTCTCTTCTGAAATTAAAGGAGCATTAATCCTAGTACTTGGATGTATTACTTACAAGGGCTGTCGCTCTTAGATGCCGTTGAGTGGCCTCTGGCACATGGTGGCCTCATCTGTGGGGAGCAGGGCGACACACTGCTGGGTCCCCCAGTGTCCCCCTCAGTCCCGCAGCGTCCCTGCGACAAAGGCCGCTTGAGCTCCTGGTATAGCTGTTGTATCAGCCCATGGCCCTGAGGGTGTGTATCCCATTTACTGACCCTCTGGATAGACCTGTGAGTCTAGCAATGGGCTCAAGGATATCAGAGATAACAAGGATGGCACGCACGGGAGAGGACAAGGTTCCAATCTACTGTTCCCAGGTTGTTATGAGTCATGGTTAACGTGACAGCAGCTAACAGCCACAGCAAACACATTGCCAAACATGACATTCTTCTCTGTTGATTGGTCTTTCCTGATGAAGTGTCCACATAAGCAAAATTGTTGTGACATTATTGGGTTGTTTGGTGCTTCTCCTGCCATCTACTACGTCACTGCTGTCACCTGCTGTCTCTGTGGCTCTGATCCGTGTGATCGTACATACAAACTGTCCAGACCCTGCCTGGTCCTGCACCGTCCACACCAGCGCTGCTGCGTTTACATCCACCGCTGCAGCCACTGCATCAACGCATCTCACTGGGTGTCTGTTTACTAAAAGGAGGAGACTCGTGGACCTCCTTGAGTTCTAAAACCTCAAACATCAGTCGATTTAGATAATGAATGCTTCCTGATCAACGCCGGAGTCAGATTAAGTTGCCCAATCACATATGTAACTTTAAAACTGAAAATTGCAGTTCTTGCTAAAAGACTGGATGAATACATTCCATTTTGACGACAGGTGAATTTCCAGGTGGTCTAGACTATTAACCAGAATATGTCTGTGTGCAATCTTCTCCCGGTGCTGTTTCACCTACCATAAAGCAAGGGCTGGGGCGAGATGCCTTCAAGAGCCCTTTCAGTTCTAAAGCTCTGTAAGTTTTAAGCTCATTTCACTGCTATAGCATGTGACCAACTCCAAAAACAGCCAGCAAGAGTGTTAGTTAAGAAAGACGTCTGAAATGTTGAATATTTCTACTTTTCCACCCCGGTGCTTAAGCTCCACATCATTAAGTGTGTTTCACTTCTCCTCTCTTTATGCCTGCCTCGGAAATGAACTTGAGATTCCACATCTGTGCAATGCGGGAAGTCTGGAAACTGTTGTGTTTTCAGCATTGACTTTCTCGTGCTCTTACTGTATCTCCATCCCTGCCAGTTGTAGGGAATTTGTCCAAAAGATTTACATCACAGGGGGAGGGAAGCCCTAGTGACTCAGGGTTAAGGGCTCAGAGGCTGACTCAAAGGTCAGTGGTGCAAACCCTCCAGATGGTCTGAGAGAGAAAGACGAGGGAATTACTTTCTTAAAGCTTACAGTCTTAGACCCTGGGCCAGCTGTATGCTATCCTAATCCCACAGAGTCACATGAACTGGAAATGACTTGATGACAGTGAGTTTGGTGGGTTTGTTTTTGTAGGGCTTTTTGAAGCCAGAGGGACCCAGTGGCTCTGTGGTGAAAGCTAACCAAAGGTTTGGTGGTTCAAACCCAACAGTCACTTCGATGGACAAAGACGAGGCACTCTCCTGCCGTAAAGAATTAGGGCCTTGGAAACGCAATGCAACAGTTCTGCTCTGCCCTGTGCGTCTGCCTCAACTTGATGGGAGTGGGTTCCCTTTGACTCTGTTTTCTGGAACGTGATGGGGGAGGTCTTTATTGAGGCGAGTCTTTCCAGCTGGGGAATTTCTAGTGGCCTATTCGCTGAACTGTTTCATAGCAGAGTCACAGGCAGACAACTTTACTGCAAGGCTCATTCCACTCATCCTTTGACAGATGGTGCTGGACTTGGGGCATTTGCTCAGTCTCCTTGGGTTGGCCTAGCGGCACAGCTGTGGCACTTACAGGAGCGGGTGGGGATTGTCTGAGCCAGCAGTGAGTATTTAAGGTCTACACGGCTGCCTACAAGCCAGGGAACACTTGAATACGTGTGGTTATTTTGTCTTGTTTACAATCAGTTTTCCGTCCAGCAGTTGACTCATATTCCTTTTACAGCATTAATTATGATACAGGGCCGGTGAGGTGGGCCTTTGGGGGTAAGTGTTGTCATACATATCCCATATCTGATTTGGGTCTTCTGTTGTGAGCCCTTACACAGTGGTCAGTGGTGGTAGCCGGGCACTGCCTAGTTCTGGTCTTAGACTCATGAAAGTTGAGGGTCAAATAACCACCAGTCCCTTGGACTAAGATGTATTGTTTTGAGTGATAACTTTCATCCATGGAAAACTTGGTATTCTGATGCCACTGTGATCAAGTCTCTGTGAATGATTTTGCTTAATCTATGCTCCATACTTCTCTCTGAGCTCCAGATGAGGGCTTTCCAGGAGAACTTAGTGGAGGACTGGAAATGCCCTAATTTGCATTGTCCTCTATGTGTCTATTGTATCTCTATTGTGTCTATTGTGACCTTGAATGTGGTTTCTGCAGCTGAGCAGCTGAAGAGCCCTTTGTACTTGATCCTGATCTATGTCTGTGGAAGTAGCCACATGCGGCCATCACCTTGGGTGATGGAGGCAACGTGGAGTAGTCGTTGAGTGGAAGTGGGTTTCTGAAGCTCACCTTCCTGAGTTCCAATCCTATCCCACCCCTTCCAAGCTGTATCATGTTATGCAAACTACGCCACTTCTCTGAGCCGGTAAGGATGTCCCCGTCAGGCCTGATGTGAGCATTAACTATGTATACAACTACACACACACACCTGTTTAATCGCGATAGCATACCATTCATGACCAGAAAACCTGCTGCTATTAAGACGATCCCAACATCTAGTTCTTTTGATCTCGGGGTTGTAACCACTTGTGGGACAGAGGTCAAGTGCTCCACGGGGCTCTAAGGCTGTTCTCTGTGGAAATGGGTGACCACGTCTTTCCCCCATGTTGCAATTGTCAGCCCCAAAGCACCAACTGTTTGCTTAGCAACTGAGGCTTAAGTTCTGCTTAACCACCAAGCTTCCTTTCCAATCATGAAGATAACATTATTCTTACACACAATGTGCTTAGGGCACCATTAGAGTTAAATGTTTTGAAAACCAAATAAACTCAAATTCATTGCTGTTGAGTCAGAGCCCTCCATAGCTGACCCTCCAGCGGCTTTTCAGACGGGAACCACACGGGAAGAGATTGCCCATCTTTCTCCCACAGAGCAGCTGAGGGCTGTGAAGCACCTGCTTCTGAACCAGCAGTTCAGCTCCTTCCCAGAAGCCCACCAGAGCTCCCTAAGAATAAATAAGTCCTCTTTCCACCCTCCTAACTACTGCTTTTACTACCCAGTCCTTACTCAGCGTTCCTACCACATAGACAACCTGAACCCAACAAGTCCAGGACCGACCCGTGTAATGCACACCTGTCCCTCCTTAATCCAGGGTAAGCTTCCTGCTTGCTCATCCCAGAGGTCACCCTTCATACCAGCTCTTCGCTCATCCTTACTTCCAACCAGCCTCCAAATCCTGCCAATTTTAAAAGATTCCCAGCCCTTATGGTTCAGGTCCCACCACCCATCTACCCATGTGTCATACTGTGGTGATTGGCACGTCAGAAGCTATGCTAGGAGTATTTCAAATGCCAGCATCGGAACCCAGGGTACACAGGTCACAGCAGAACTTCCAAACCCAGATAGACTAGGAAGGAAGTCTTGCAATCCGCTCCTGAAAACAGCCAGTGGAAATCCTGTGGGTGACAATAGAACACTGTCTAAGAGAAGGCTAGCAGATGGCCCTCAGGTTGGCAGGTGCTCAAAATGCAGTGACCGTAACAGTGAACGCAGGCCACTGGCCATTAGTGCATAACTGGCCCTGGTCACCATGTCTGAGTCAGTTCGGCGGCAGCTTACAGTAAGAACTTGAGCAAGATCTTCCTCCATGACTTCCTGGCACATTCTCCTGACTGTTCTCTCCAGATGTCTCCTGCAACCCTTAACTTCCTCTCTCCACTGACATCTCAAAGGGCAAGGACTACAACTAGAACAACTGGCATAACAAAGTCCAAAATCGTCAAACAAACTAGGCATCCTGACAAAAACTAGGGGGACGCCAAGACTGGGGCCCTTAGACTCCCTTCCAACCTGGAGCCCAGCCCATCCTCAGGGACCACTTTCAGCCAAACAAGAGCCCAGGAGTGAATAATGGTGCCCGGGAGAGCCTTATTTCTCCGTACAATCAACCCCACAGACCGAAAGGCAGCATTTGTCATAGAACAAAGCTCAGAAAGCGCAGGAAAGGAGGGTGACTGGGCCAGAGAAGCCAGGGACAAGCCAGAAGAGGGCTGTTTCCTCAAGGTTACAGCAACCGACGTTATGGTGCAAAATGTGCAGAAACTGTTGAATGGAAAATTCATTTGCTCAATACACCCAGAGCATGAGAAAAAGAAAAAAATAAAGTACAGGCTCCATCAGGCTTCAGCAAAACCTGGCCTCCAGGGCTGTCAGGACAGAGCTCAGCGGGCTAGAAGTGGCTGCCCTATCCCCTGCCTGCCTTGAAGCCACCCCCTCTGATCACTCCCCTCACCCCTACAATCTCCAACCTTGATCTTCCTAAACGAAGATGATGGATGGGTTTCATATCACTAATGAAACAATCAGAGCAGAAACAGTATCATATTTTATGATAACTCCATTCAGAGCCTCACAGGTTAAAACGGGACGCAATCGTTTTCCCTCCTCGGCGAAGCTCCGTGTATACATTCCTCCCCTCTCCCTGATCTTCTAGCCAGAGCTGCAGGTCCCCTGGCTCCTGGGACTTCAGAGGGTTGGAGTGGGAGGAGCTGGCCCATTTCTCCTGACTCTGTCATCACCAATCATTGACCTGAAACACAGAGGCAAGCCTTCAAGACAGCCTTCAGACTTTGTCACCTGGCTTCCTGTCAGAGTGATAAACCCGGGTGTGGAGAATTCAAGAGAAAACTGCAGGTGTGGTAGTATCCAGGAGACCGCAATCAGATGGACATGGTGTCACCCCAGAGCTGGTGTCACCCAGGGCAGTAACCCCTGGTGGCA